TGTTCTGCAGTGGTCTGGGAGGAGCTGCCATCACCCAAAGGAGAGCTCGGAGAGCTGCGTTAGTCCTAGGAGAGCATCAGCACATCCCTGGAGGATGTGTGTGTTGGGGAAAGGTGCAGAACAGAAAGAAGAATTTGGGGTCCTTTCCAAATTCATGCTGCTCTTGAGACTGTCATACGCCTATTGTCCCAGTCCTAAAATTTCCAGAACAGAAAAGGCAAAAGGTTGCAAGCGTGATGAGAGGCCTGGAAACGTGTTCAAGTGAGAAGAAATCAAATGGAGAGAGTCCTGGTGGACTGATGCCTGAAAACAGCAGCAGCTTTGGCCTTCCAGCATCCCTTTGACGCTGTTGTCCTGGGATGACGACACGCGACTTCTGGCACGTCTTTGTTGTCCAGGCATGTGAAATGTCTGTAACCTTTGAGTCGCGTGGGCCGATCTGTTGCGGTGTTGTGGGGCTGCGCGCTCAGCCCGCTGCTCTTCTGCCACGCGCCTGCGAGCGGCTTTTGGAAGATCCTGCCGTGAGAGGGAGCCTGGAGGTGGGAACTGAAAGGCTGCGGGGTTTACTGTGCAGCAGCAGCCGCGGGTGGAGGGGAGGCGGCAGGGACCTGCGGGGCCGGGCGGGGGGCAGCGCAGGGGCTGCAGGAGGCAGCAGCCGGGGCGCTCAGGGAGCGCGCAGGGCAGCATTGGTGGTTCAGTGGTAGAATTCTCGCCTGCCACGCGGGAGGCCCGGGTTCGATTCCCGGCCAATGCAGCACTTCACTTTTTGGAAGAGGTGCAGGGGAAAAATGTAGTGCTGTAGCGCAGCAGCAGCAAGTTTTCTTTATAATTCCTTATTTGTCCTGAGAAAACATCCTTTTATTAAGGTCTATTGCAGAAGAGCTTTAAAACTTCAACAGAAAGTTTAATTGCTTTAATCTCTACCCCTTCGGGGTGGGATTGCACCCTGAAGCAGGCAGGATCAGATAAAGCTGCGGTGCTTTTGCATCGCAGACTCTCAGCTCTGCTCCCTGGTCGTGCTGCTGTTGCGGTGCTGCAGTGTGAGTAGAGGCTGTTGGCACAAGGGGGCATGAAAAGTCAACTTCAACCTGTTATGCTTCATCACCGTGCTGCTAAGACCCAGTTTTAGCCTGGAGCAGAGGTTGGAAAGCTTTTTGAGTCACGTAGCGTTCACGTGGAGTCACGCCATGGGAGAGCCGGCCAGTTGGAGACGTCCTGGGTTGGATTCAGCCTTTCCTGTGCTGGTCTGGTGTCTCTGGACGTTGAAATCTGGATGATGGAAGGCAGCTCTGCAGTTCTGAGCTTCTTCAGGAATGGTTGAAACCACCAGAAGGATGTGTCTGGGTCTCCATTGCGGAGGGGCAGACCCAGTTTGGGGCAGAGGTCTGAAGCCATGCTGCCTACATTTTGGCTGGGTGAATGCAGTCCTTTGTCCAGCACCTCTGGTAGTGGAGAAGAGCTTGACAAGGAGTGTAAAATGCTCACTGCAGGTGGAAGGGATCCTCAGGGTTCCCAGACCCTCAAATGATGTCTTTGCAGGAGGTCCCGCAGCTCTCCAGCCTCCCAGTCCTGCTCTCCACCTTCCCTGCCATCCCACTAACTGTGTCCCCTGTTTATCTGCCCCCAGGCTCTCTGGATGCCTCTGGTGACTCCAACCTCAGCAACAGCAGCGTCTTCACAGTAACCAGGTAGGGTCTGTTGGTTGCTTCAGAGGGGCTTGAGAAGAAGGGAAAGCTTCCTGGGGTACAGATAATGACCGACAGATGCTGAGGAAGCTATGGGGAAGGATGGTCTGAGCTGGAAAGCAGTTGGGGTCTCCTGGGTCACAGATGACCGGGAGTTGACTGCTTCTCTCTGATGTATTTGCATCAAAATATCTTGACTTCATGGTAAATTGAGGTATTTTGAGGTCCAGGAGACCTTGCAAAGCCCTGTGGTGAGGCAGCGAGTGTCTGTGCTCTAGGGATTCTGCACCTTGCCCATCTTCAAGCCTACAGAGAGCAGCTTCATGCCCAGCATGATCATTCCCAGTCCCTCATCTCAGCCCCATCTCCTGCAAATACCTTTCTTCCCGTCCAGCTGTCAGTGAATCTGGGCACAAATCCATCCACTCATAACGCATCTTTCCTTTCCTCCTGCTGCCTGCGGTTCCTTTCCTCAGAGGTCGTGATTTCCAACACTTCTGTTGTGCTGATGCGTTCATTTGTTCGCCGTTGTGGTCCCTGAAATAGGATGCGTTACTCCAGCTGCATCCGACCAGCGAGGCAGACGCGTGATGCCCATCATGACGTGTCCCAGAGCAATGCAAGCATCAGCTTTTCAGACTGATGGTCTGTACCCTCTGTTCCTTCTTTGCACTCCCGAAAAGCCCAGCTACTCCTTGGTCTTAATGATGCCCTTAATTTTTTCCTCCCTTGAAAGTACAGATCTTTTTGTTTACGCCTAGATTTTGGGATTTGTCTGTTAAATGGTTTTTCCTCAGCTTTCCTCTGATTGATGCAGCCTGGCCCTACTCAGCCCTTAAAGTTTCGTGGGTGCAGAAGTGGGTGGGCTTAGGGCTGAAATTAGGAAAGGGAAGAAAAAGAAGAGGTGCTAAGTCAGGAGGACAAGTGAGAACTGCGTCTCTGTGCTGAAGAGCTTGGACCTGGGGGAGAGGGAGTGAAGATTGAAGGGGAACAGAAGCAGGGAGAAATGGAGCAGCTTGGGCACTGTGTCACTGAGAGCCAGGTGGAGAACGGCTGCCTGAGCTGAAGCGGTCTGCCAGCTCCCCAAAGAACCGTCTGGGACAGCAGGTGAGACCCTCCGTGTCTCTAGGAGACCTGGTTTTACAGAGTGATTTGTTCTTGAACCCCTCTAAGCCCTTTCAAACAGGAGATGTCAGGCTTTAGCCTGGGCTTTTCCTGCCCTGAAGCCCATTTCCCTCTCCTATGTGACCTCTCTGCTGGCTCAGCATCAGGATCTGGAAGGCATTTGCTGTGACACCCGTTGTAGGTGGCTGGCACAGATTTGGGGGGCTGTTTGCAGCCAAGGGGCGCCCTGGACGTCTGCCTGGTGCTCCATCTACGGCTCGGGCTGTCTGGCTTGGCTGTGGGGCCGCAGGAAGGTGAGAGCTGGCACCCGTAGCCAACCGCGGCCGTAACTCACACCGGGGAGCGGGCAGCTGCCTGCGCACTGAGTGTCCACTGGGTGTCAAGACAGGA